CCTCCACAACACCGCAGCTAACGGTTCTCTGGTGCTTTCCAAGCCAGTACGGGGATAACCTCATAGGCACAGCCAATATTCCCTCCCAGTCAATAAAATACAGTCAAGCCCAAGCATCTAAGGCTAAATTTGAGCTATTGCAGGATGTACAATGGCTCCTGACTTGGCAGTATCTAATTCAGCTCTCTGAAGTGCTCTGGGGCACCATCAGTAAGAGCGGCTTTATAAAAATTATTTCCATTTTTATATTCTCCACAACTTCCCCTGCAAGTTACTTTACACCATCACCAGCGAATGTTTCTCCTGGCCGCACACAGCAAGCCCAGGTCTGGTATCTCTGCTTCCCAAAGCAAGCCTGCAGCCATGAGGGACGAGCAGAGCTTTCCACCCCCAGTGTAGGCCCCACAGACGCCGCGTGGGTGCTGACCGCGCAGACGGGGCAACGCACCCCTGCGAGGGTCAGCACCTCCCATCAGGGCACGCTGGCCGCCGAACCACAGCACCACGGGCCAGCAGAACGCGATCGGTACGGAGAGCTCACGGCTCCGACGCGCCTGGGCCTCGCACACAAGCGCAAAGCTTTGGAAGGACCCCCTGCACAGCAAAGGCTCCCCCGGATTCACTCCTGCCCTCCTGAACCCAGCTAACAGAGCCCTGCTCCAAATCTCTGCCTAACGGAACGCCGAGCTTCAAAACACCCGGCAGGAATGGAAACCAGCAGCAGAAACCAGACGCTCGTTACGAAGGGCCAGTCCTAAAATATAGAGGCTGAACGGCATTACCCACGGCGCACACATGCCCCTGATCGCATCGTGGCTCTCTCAACAACAACTGATGAAGAGAGACCACTATACACCCTCCTCTTCATCCTCCATTTTGTTTGCGACATGGAGACAAAATGATGAAAGTCAAGCTTTACAAATTACTCAATTTAGGTTAGAACAAGTCAGAATACAATAGCACTTGTGTTTTTTTTAAAAATAAATAAAAAAAACATTTCTCCTACTTTATGCCCTCAAAAATCTGGTCTATAAAAATCTATAAATTTGAACGTGGAGCAGCACTACAAAGGACTGTGTCAGGATAATTGAACAGAAATTCCTGTTTTCTGCAGGGTTTTGCTGCTCGCACGTATCTGATGGATCTAATGGAATACTCAGTGTCCTGTCAAATCTGAAAGATGACATTACAAAGCTTTTCCAGCAAGCAGGCAGTCTGGGGTGCTTCTTTTAAACTGTTTCATGTTGCTCTAAACGAGAATTTAAGGAGACATTTATTTATTTTTAATTTGGAAAACAGCATTTCAGCAAAAATCTATTCCACGAACCTCTGTTCCCCTTGCTGGGGGATTGCTATTAAACACAGACTTGCCCGAATCTCTTCCTCCTGCCGGGGTGCCCCAGCGTCAGCGGGGATATCGCGGCAGGCTGCTCACAGGGACTCTTACTCAAGCTAGAGGTGAAGCGAAACACGCTGAAACGCAACCATTTTGCAACTCCTCCCTCCCTCACACCCTCCAGCCAGCCCGAGCAAGGGTGCTTTAGGGGTCGGAGCCTGCGACAAGCTCCAGAATGTTCCTGTCTCTGCTTCACTCTCAGGATTGCCCAGGAGACTCCACAGCTCGCACAGCGTAAGCTACGACCCCTCTGCAGCCCAGAGGTGTGATGCAAGATGAAGATAGGCAGATCTGCCAAAATTAAGCATATGTATTTATAGCTATCTACATATCCTTAAAAGCCATTTCTGTGGTGCAGCAGAGCAACAGATCCTTCGTCAGAGCTCATCCAAGGCAACGGGTCTGCTGGTATTCTGCACTGTGCCGCGGGCTGAAACTCGCCCACATTTATCTTTTTACCTGAGGCTGGAGGACAGCAGGGGAAGGGAACGGGGCGGGGAGATCAATAAAACACGCAATTATGTGTTGGTAACAATCAGCTAAAAAGCAATTTGGGATCCAGTTTATGTAATAAACTATGTGGAGAGATGGCCTACAGCAGCCAGAGCATTATTTAGACCTGTTGAGCAACATTTTAAATTCAGCAGCTTTTTCACTACCTCACTTCCAGCAGCCCCTCGCTGTGCTGACAGAGGGGGTGACAGTGGAGCCTGGCTGCGCGGCCACCGCTCCCCAGTGCGGCCCTTCTCGCTTGTTTTCTGACCGCTGGCAGCTACGTGACACCTTTTTGGGAACGAAGGCAGAAGGAGAGGGAGGAAGCAAAAAAGGTCGATGCACCAATTTCTCTAGGGCCCCTTTTCTTTGCTTTTACGGGGTGTGGGGAAAAAAGCGTTTGAAGAACACAAGATTCACCTGACATAAGAGGGAAATGGAAAGGGAAAAATACTTTAACACTCCCTGGAAGGGAACAAATCTACTGTATTCAACAAAGAAAACCTGTATACAGGCTGATTGTATCTAACCTTGCTTTTCCTCTCATAAAGAGATTTCCAAACTAGGGCATGGATTAGAAAGAGCTGAAATAGAACATACAAAGGAGGCGTTCTGCTAAAACTGAGTATCAATGTTAAACAAGCTGGAAGGGAAATTATTTTCTTACAGATTATCAGCAAAGACAGATACTGTCTCAGAGGACATAGGATATTAATAAATGACGTATATACAGGTCTTTCAAAAACAGACAAATTAGAGTCATCCTAATCCTCTCTTCTCTTGGACAATCCTGGGGTCTGCTTCATCTCTACTCCTGAAAAACCCAGCTGCTCTACTGTATAGGGCTTTACATATCCTATCTTGTATGTATTTATCTCCATTAAAATATTTATGTTCAAACAAGGTTGTTCCTACGAAAAGGGTTACGCTGAGTTTTTTTGAAGTTGTATTGGTATCTTTAATGCTCTATGGACACAGGTTCCATTGACTGCAAATACCCTGCCTTTATACCAGGGGTTTGGGGGTTTTTTTTGTTTCTTATTTTGTTCGAGTATTGAAATCTTCCCTAACAGATGGAAAGAACCCAACACACTCCACAAAAAAAAGCAAGCTTGTGAAGAATGAGTGTCAGATTCCCTTTGCCAGCTACACAGAGGTCCTGCTTCAATGCCATTTCAAGAGCACATTTTAAAGTTCATCTTTTAAACACTCAATACACAAAAGCACAGTTCATTATATCTAACAAAACAGTTTCCAAGGAGTATGCCAGATTAGAACCCCCTGACGTTTATCTAATCAGAGGAAATTATAACATTAATCTTTACTGTTCTATTTAAGAAAAAAGGATGATTCAGACAGGTGTTTTAATAGAAAGCAGCAATCATGACAGCAAAGGAAAATGCCGTATCAAAAGCCATCAGCTGCACGCAGTTGTCTGTTATACAGAAACAACAAAGGCTTTTTTCTTATAATTTAAAGCAATCTACATGTTGAAGGAAAGCAAGGGAAGTTAAATAACTGTGGTGATTCATAAAGCAAAGTCCATCCTGAGGCCATGCCAATACTGGTAAGGCTAAACAAACAGGGCAAGTTCATAGACTTACTGAAAGAAACTCCTCTCCCTTTCTCTTTGCTCCTGTTAGTGTAGGGCTATGGTCCTTTCTCCCCGAAGTCCTGTTTCTTCCTCTTGAGAAAAGCTACTGAACTACCCTGACAAACCTCTGGAGAGTGGATGAGGAACTGGATGTCATTCCGGCTCCTTCCCTGCTTCATTGTGTCTCTCTCACTAATCTTGCCTCAAGCAATACTACATCACTGCACCCACCAAGGCCTTCAAAGTCCTCCAAGTGTGAAACACTCCTACGGAATCCACTCCAGCCCACCTCTTCGGGTGACCATTTGGTCCCAACCCTGATGCACTGAACTGCAGTCAGCCACGGCTGCCTACGAACCTCAGAACACAGCAAGGTCTTTTCTCTGCTTCCCTCCTGTGCTAGAGCACTTCCTCTCCCCCAGCAGCACCTCAAGATCCCAATCCTGAAATCATCCTTGGAGAGATGACCAGTCAATACAGGACAGTTCACACCTCCTTCCAAACAGGCTTGGTGTGGACACAGGCACAGTCACCGCGGGACTGCCCTTCGCCTGCTGGCACCCTGTCTGTATCGCCATACCCCAAAACTGCAGGTAAAGGAGCATCTGCTAACGAACCACACACTGCAAATTCCTTTTCCCACAGCTCACAAGCGTTTGTGCTCCCAACAACTGCCAACAGTCGCTCTCCACACGACAACGCCTGGATACCCAGCTGGAAATGAATGTTAACAGCATGCAGCAGGACCACGCAGGAAGTCAGCTGCAGATTCCCAGTAAAAAAAAGTAGTTTTGCTAAACACACCGTGAATAGTGAGACCGAGCAGTGAGGATTTACCTTGATACTGGGCACTGAACCCCTTCTGCCTGTGGTTGCCATCTGATGTGAAGTGAAGCCGCAGCCAATTTTTACTGCTGATAACCGGGGCAGGCAAATTCATTCCAGTAAACCTGCAAGAAACCAACCAAGAACAGCCACATGTTATTTTGACTGTGACTGACACCACAAATACCTGTCCTTCCAGGCAAAGCTCCTCCTGCACGAATGGAGGAAATCCTGAACGAGTACCATATGCTCAAAGAAAGCACCCCATGCACCCCACGGCTGTTTCTGCGCTTACATTCCTTCGCTCGTCTTCCCACCCGACAGCTACCCATGTGTGATTACAGGGGTTTCTGTCCCTTCCTTCCACGGCAAAGGGTGCAGGGGGCTGAGCTGGGTACTCCAATGTCCAGGCAAATGACACGGGTCCAACTGGACAGCCTAGAGGCTCCAGTCTTCTCCTGCACCGCAAGGAGCGATCGGAAGTACGACATAAAACCATCTCAGCAGACCTAAGGTATGCAAGATGAGCTTGGCTCTCAAGCTTATTCAGGTCGTGTCTTCATATTTTGTTAACCCTACTAAAAGAAAGTATGTTTATTTTAACTAGGAAAGAGAAAGGATTGCAAGAATTTTCTTTTACTGGAAATTGCCAGCAAGAATCAATGATTTATCGCAACCTGGAGAAGATTACAGCCATCAAAAACGAGTGGAAAGCTCCACAGCCCATTAGCAGTCCTTCAGCAACTGTTCTCTTCATTTCTCTTTATATATATATATATTTTTTTTTTCTTTAAGTATTTTGCTGTTTGCTTTATTAAACTCCAGATCATAATTCTTGGCTGAGTTGTCACATGCCAAGTCTTCGTCCGGAACAATGTTTACCTAAGTCACAGCACCCTTGAATTGAGGTATATAACAGTCACATTAACCACGGTAAGGAGAACAACACTACCATGACAAAAGCTATTATGGAATCCTATTATTGTTAATGAAAGCCCATTTCATCTTTTAATCATAGACTGTCACTTGTTTAAACATTATTGGCATTCCAATACCTATGCTTTTTTAGATGAAGGTAAAGGGATCCTGGAAATCCATTCCACTCAAAAGGATACTTTGGATTTTATTACTATACATTTTCAACAGCAGAAATGATAACCTAGAAAATATTTTAGGTCCTTCGCTCAGCTAACACCTCCGAAGGTGAACTTACCTTTTTCTAAGGCGAACAGCAGGGAGCCAGGATGATACTTGGCAGCGTATTTATTAATGGTAGATGAACTGCAACGCAATCCTGCTCTACTTGTTAATGAAACCGCCGGGATGATTATGCTGCATAACTAATGCATCTCCGCCACCTACAGCACAGACTTCAAGCCTTATATTATCTTGTGGCTGAATTCTGCGTAATTATGAAGCATGACTGAAAACATTCTTTACACTGTAAAATTGTGTAAGATTGTTCCTGCTCATTTCGCTATTGATTATTTTCATCTCAATTTTGCAGACTCTTTTGAAATACAAGGTGTTATAAAAATGGCTTCTATATGGCATTCTGCCTTGCTTGGATAACTGAAAGACAGCTGAACCAATTAAACCTAAAACTTTCTCAAATAACTAAGTTCAAACAAACATATTTTGGGCTGAGATCAAACATGGAATGCCTAAAACCCGTTCTGGGAAAGTTACTATGGCTGGTTGTTATGACAACATGTTTAAACTTAATACTCTTACCCCCAAAGGCTATTTTATTATTCATTCTGAATCAACAGTCAAACTTCTCATAAATAATCTTCAGGTACGCATAGCCAAATTTTACTTTCATAACTGTGGAGAGCCGAGTAATTCAATTGCCTGATACAAGAACTAGAGAACAATAAAATTAACCTGCCGGAATGAGGCAGAATGTCACTCTCCTGTGCCCCAGTCCCATTTTTTTTAATATGCATATCCTTTTGACAAGCGGATTCAGTAGGCTGCAGACGAATAATCTACTCACATACACACTTCGGTTTAGGGACGTGAATACTCCGCTAGTAACTTCCAAGGATTTCGCACACATGAAGTCCTAGAATTCTACCAGCTGAGTGAATTAACAGTTTGAAAATCAATTAGAAAAATTAATGGATTGCACTTCTTGCTACCTTTGCAATAGCATAAATAATTGCTGAAGGTAAAAGCAGGAGTACAGAAAAATAATTAATCATAACCACAGTGCTTTGCACACACTTTACATGGCTTTAAAGAAATACAGAAGATTTAGGGTGAAGAAAAAGAGTTCCCTGAATTTCCTGCATGGAAATTTTCATCAGCACCATATGTCGTTTGCTTAAGACATTGACAGCTTTCTGAAAGGGCTAAATCAGCCAAGAAATCACTATCAGGTCCTCATTTCCATACACACCACTGCTCAAACTCTCAGCACACAAAGAGACTGTGGATTCTCTAGGGCTCTAGTCTAACAGACTCCTTTTTTTCCCCTTTTATCTTCCTGTCCCTTTTCTTTCTGAAGCTCAGCAGCTCATTGCTAACGCCAGGCTGCAGGCTGCAGCATTTGGAGCAGACATTTCAGATCCCCAGTCCTGCTGGTCACTGGCATCCAACTTGGGGTTTGCACTGAAGCAACAACTGAGACAAACCAACCACGACGGCGAAGAGGAAGACGCTGCTTCCTTTTTCACACACCCCAGGCTAAGCTAAAACATCCCAGCGGCAGAGCATCTTTGCTAAGCGTCAGGATCCCCAATGAAATCACTGGGACAAGCACATGGAAACACACCATGCAACATGTGGAAGCATGGTTTTTGGTGTTGAGGTGGGTTTTTTTTAAAAATTGATTCCATTTAAATGGTGCCTCCTTAATAGAATTAGTTCAGGAAAATAAAGGACTTATTTTTTGATTAGCATAATTTCTTGCAGAGATATAATTTCAGTCTCTGAATCTGCACTGAGCTCCAGTCCCCCTCATGCACCCCAAGGAGGGAAATCTCTATATGATGCAAAAGGAACACTTGATCTGTGAACACTATTGTTCCTCCCAGCCCCACGGCAGTTGTAAACCTACAGGCACCGAGCACTTCATGGAGGAAAAAATCTAACCACCCTTTCTGCAGCGCTGAAGGCGGGAACATGCTAGAAGGTGGATGCTTTAATGCCAAAGCTGCGCCTTCTCCCGTTCCACGGGACTGAGCCAGCAGGCATGCCACCTCACGCAACCAGAGAGACACATCCCAGCCTTCCAACTCCTCTTCCCCAGCAGCCACCACCGCGTCTGCAGGTGGGCAATCGCAGGATGAAGTGTCCATTCCCACTGAAACGCATCTTGCCCAGCACCAGACTGGATAGGTGGGCAGGGACAGAAACGTTCTGATGGATGAGAAATAAGATGGCACTTAATGGAAAACATCATGCTTACCTGCAGTTAACGACTAGCTTTTCACCATAAGGCCCCCACAGGTTTAAAATAATCATTAGGAAGCATGAATGGTTAATTGATAATGGAATATTTAATTACAGATAAACACAGTTGAACTGAAGCAGCTGCATGGTCTTTGAATGCAAATGCCCTGGCTGCTGTGGACGGATCTCGACTGAAATGGGAAGGATGCTCAGCAGGCAAGAGTCAACAGCAATCACGAAAACCAGAGACACAGCCCCAGTCTCACGCAGGAGCTCGCAGCGACGCGGCCGTGCACGGGGCTAACGCCAGGCAGCACCCATGGGCCCCGCAAGCCTGCGGGCAGAGCGACAGCAGCCCGAGGCAGAGAGGCAGGCGACGCCGGCTGCGACACGCTGTCGGAGAGGACACAGCGCACACAATGTCTGTACTGCCAGCTTCCCAAGGTCACTTTATTTTTCTTTGTAAACCCAATGCTGCCTTGCTGTCTTCAAGAAAAAGGAGGAGCTACATTACAGAGACTTACAAATGCACAGAGCTAATTAAACGAAGCTGAAGCTCCTTTCCATTCCCCAGCACACTTCTGTACTACATTATGTGCTCTGAATTTTCAACACCTACCATTAGCCCAACAAACGACTGCATTTCTAACAGCCCAGTGAGTCATGTAAATAAAAGCCCTTCTATTTTGGACCTCTGCCACCATATTTTTTAATATTCCAGACTTTTCTTTTTTCTTTACTTTTTTTTTTTTTTTTAATAAGTCTATTAGCAATTTGCAAAACTTTTCAAGGCTCTGTATGTCCATTTCCCCCTCCTCCCCTCTTCTTGCCGCCGTCACCAGGAGATATGAATCACTTGATTAAATATTCAGCTTCCTGAATATGGCAGCATGTTAACAGAAATCCAAGGCTTTGGAATGACTAAGTAGCCATATAAGAACTGTTTTTAAAGTAAAATCAATAATCATTACTCACAGATGGGAATTCGGTACCCATTTTATATTAAGCATCATTTTAATCCTGGGGTCACTTGGAGAAAGAGATGAACTGAGCTTCCACCCAAACATTTCATTTCCAGAGCTTTGCCCTTCCGAGTCAGGAGGTGACCAGGGAGGATGCAGAGGCCAGGGTGGCTGGGTGAGAAACAGACTCGGCTCCTCAGTCTCCCTGGCCTGGAGACTGAGATTTGCGAGAGGAGCCTTTCTCTGAATGTCATTTCACCCACGCCTGGGGCTCTAGGGGCAGCTGGGTCACTTTGTGGTTGAACGAGGTCAGTGGAACAGTTTATTTACATATATTTATGCTCAGGATGCATGTCCCAGCTGTTTATTGTATCCCCATGGCAGAGAGGACTACCTTCAGAGATGCCCAACACACAGACGACAAGAACTAACACTGCGATCGCAAGCGGTACAAGAGCTAGAGAGGAAGAGGAGCATGTCAGGCACTTTCTGGGTTTCCAAGCAGACTGACCTGCCGTGGAAGCAGGCATGGTGCAGCACGTGAAGGTTTCCTTCTGCTGTAGCAGGTACTAGATCTATTTACCTTTCTGGCCATCTTAACTTCCAGGAAAAAAACCCAACCAACCCACCCAAGAAACCAAAACCACACAGATCATCAGCTGGGGCTCCCAACGTGCTCCTTCACCAGCTGTCTCCCCTCCCAGCAGGTAGCTGCGAGTCGTTCTTCTTCCTCAACCAGAAACCCCTGCAGAATTGCAGAATGT